GATTCACGTATGGTAAGGGTCATTAGTTGTAAAGCTCAAAGAGGAAGTGAATAATATAAGTTGTGGGATTTCCGAAAAGACCAGAAAACAGTATCTTGCCCGTTAAAGATAACAATAAACAGCCACAGGTATTGAGAGTGACAGTTAGTTAAACCTCAAGGTGTTATTTGAAAGAGATCAAACTTCATTGATCTTCTACCGGTCGCGGGAGTTCTTGTTTGGTGACGTAAACAGATTGGTACAATGAAGAATTGGGATATCTTTGAGAGCATAGATGAAACTGAAGTGAACGAGAGATAATCGTTGAACAATAATCAAAATGGCCCATGGAGAGACCACTAAAAATTGGCGGTTATCAGCAGACACTTGAAAAATGCATGAAATAGTCCTGCCAACCCGGATCGCAAAAGATTGGTAATTGTGGAAACTGGTTCAAAAATAAGAATTCTGAACATAGATTATTTCGCCCGTAAACCTCAAGGATTCACTATGATTGTTCTTCGCAGAAGACCACATGTATACAATCGCGTCAAAATTCTTGGATTAGTTTGCCAAGCGATCACTCTGCCTGGTTGGTCCCAGGTGTCATTCAGATACCCATGCGTTTTTTTGGGGGTTCCACTTGTGGTCGAAAATCGCTAATGGTATAATCAAACTTTAAATCATTTCACGTATTCCTCCTTATCACTCACTAGGTGCTGCGTTCAGAACAAGCATTTCAGCAAAGACAGTTTTCTCTATCTGTCCATCGGGATGTTAGATTTTCATTCTTTGTGATACGAATTAATGATCGCTGTCAAAAGTCGATCGATCCTATAGTGGCAGTCTAAGCCAGAGTAAGTGATCACTCACAACATTCAATAGCTTCTTCCTCATCTGCAAAATGCCGATAAGCAAATTGATTGATGTAACCTAATATGTTTAATGGGACGGCTGAGTCGTATCCATTAAGCTTTCGTTACAGTCTCTGCTAGGGTGTTTATTCTCCCACTTAGACTGCGTTAATTTCGGTTCGAGAGCCGGCCCCTGTGAAATATGATCTTTGTG